TTGGCGCATGTGGCTCGGAGGGGGCCAGTCGCCGCGCGCGGCTCAGCGATGTAGTGTAACTCGAACATTCCAGCTTCTCACGGAACATTCCAGCTTCTCACGCATGCTAAGTGACTGCCCTCACCCCCCCCCCCCTGAATTGGCTACATTCCCCCTGGCTCACGAATTTCCTGTTGCCGCAACGCCGTGAGGCTGAGCCGACTTGCAGTTCCTGTTGGTACAGAGACGGTTCAAATTCGCTTCCGTCCTGCATGAACCACACCCCATTTCTCTTTTGGAAAGGAGGTTTCAGGGTGTTACTTGAGCAGGAAGGAACCATCATTTATCGAAGTGATAAATATTCGTTTTGGTTTTGAAAGCTTTGTACCCTGCGGCGGAGTCCTAAAAAATCACGGCATTTTCCTTGTTATGAATGTTTAGAAAAGGTAACACTCACTTTTACCTATTCCTCCCTCATGAATAATTGCTTCATATACCGCGAAGCTTTCTTTCCTGCTAAGATCTGGAGTGTTGCGAATTCAGAGAAAGTGCTGCTTCCTTTTCAAGATAGCACTCTATATTAGTCCGCCGTGTTTCTTACTTAACGAATCGATTGTTGTGATTCAGTGATGCAAGATGTGTTGCATGGGCTAAGAATGCCGCATGTGATTGCGGCTGTTGGACTGGCTGGAGCAGCTTTAACAGTCTATTGTATTTATTTCGATCACACACGACGATCCGCGCCAGATTACAAGGATAAAATCCGACGAAGTGAGCTCTTCTAGTTCAGGCAACCTTGGCTTCTTTTTTTTCTTCGTAATTGTAAAGGGTTTTTTTCAGCTGTGCCTCTATGGTGCAGGGTTATCCCGGATTGGTGACAATGCCGATATTTTTAGGACGGCGTGAACAGGCTCGATTGCATGGTGCAGGCACTAGGGAAGGCCCGAGCAGTTACGCACAAGTGACCGATCAAACGGATTCTTTGCAGGCATTCTTCGTAAAAGAAATGCAACTCGGAGAACAGCTATTGTCAGATGGTAGATTTTAAACAGTTCTTTTGCATGTAACGTTTTGTCGGGAAGACGAATGTGAGCACTAACTAGTGGCACGGCTATCGTATGCGTGTGTTCGCTAGGACAGAAAGCGACTTTTTCGCGTTTTGCAGCGCAAAACGTTTTTCGGAACAGGGACCTCAGGTCCACGCTGATCATGAGTGGACCTGGAGTTCCCGGGTTTACGGACTACTTGATTTTTCCTCAATGGTCCTGCCGCGATGGCTAGAGCACAGACGATTAGAGAACGGGTGAATGCCCTAGGACTAAGCCTTGGAGAGGAGAGGGACCCGAGAGAGCGCAGAGGCGGTTTAAAGGGCTGAGTTCAAGTAGTCCGTCGACCAGCGCAAAATGTTTCGCGCGCGAAACGCGATGAAGTCGCTTTGTTTCCTAGTGAACCACACCCCTATCGCAAGTGCAGTGAAATCAGAGGGTCAAATCCTGCTTACTAACCATGTCTACGCGCCAATTAATTTAATTAACCAAACCGGTTTGGGAGAATAAACATCTATTCATCAGCTTGCGCCACAGTTAATTCATGTATAGCAAATTCACTCAATAAGATAATGGGCGCATATCGCAGTTGCGGGAGCTAGCAAGTGGGGCGGCCCTTACGAGACAACACGGTGTGGAATGTCAGCATCGCAGATTTTCATCCTGGTCCCGGCCAAACCAAGCCTTCCAATCCCGCTGTCAACTGGCGGCATCGCTTGAGATTTTTTTCTCTAGGTCCTCACCGCAATATGTTTTTAGGCAACGTGGTCGAAGGCGTTGTTCACATGGCAAACAGTGTGGCAGTGTGCAGCGAACCGGAACAATTGTTGCAGATCTTCCGGCGAATGCTATCGCCGGAGCTGTACAGTGCCATAATTCAACGGTTACCGGAAAGCTTCGCTGTGGGTGGTTAAAGCATTACAAGCTAATTAACTAGTAATCTCAATGCAGAACCTTTTTGAAATCGTGAAACTTTTAAAAATATTGAGCTTCAAGTGCATGAGAGACTTTTGCATACCATTGATTCTTATTTTCTCAAACATATTAGTGTATAACTCTATGAGCGTTCCTTGACTAGGTTCAATGTAAAAGGAGGATAGTACAAATAGTACTAGGTGTTGGCGCACCATTTCTGATGAGCGTTGATGAAAACGCGGAGAACTTGATTTTCACTTTACTAGAATCATAAGCGGAAGGAAGGCATATTTTTCACCCAGTGTGCGGCATTTAATGTCTAACGTATATTTTTCTCCATTTTCGGTTTCTCACCTTTAACAATAATGTTGGCAATGTTTTTTGGTGTCAGTAGTTTAGCGTCGATTGTTTTTGAAGCAGGCAATAATTTCAGAGTGTGCCTGCATTGTTGGTTGAGGCTATGTCGACGGCGAGACCACAACTTCCAGAGCAGGTAACTGCTTTACTATAGATCTTTTCTCTTTCTTCTTTTTTTTCAGTACCTTTGATGTTTTTCCGTCACAAAATGGTTATTGCGGTTGTCATGATACTCGAAGGTTTAATTTTCTTTAGTCGACGAAGAAATACTTATTTCATCAAGTTATCCTCAGTTTGCATATAAACTTGAAAGCGACAGCGGTGTACTCGCGTGGCTAACAATTTCCAACTTTCTCTTCTGATCTTCATCGACGAGATTTCATACTAAAGTGAAGTTTTCGGCACTATTGAGCTATTACAACCCCAGAGGGGGTGAGATGGATCAAAAAATTTTTTTCGCTGAAACTTGTGGATAGGGGGGTATCGAGGCTCCTGATCACGAATATGACCTTAGTTTTGGCTCAATTTCTCTAGGTGACGCTCGAAATAGATGTCATCTAGGCGCTCATCCAGTAAGGGGGGGCATCAAGTGGCTGCCCTCACCCCACCCCCTGAACTGGCTTCACTCCCCCTGGCTCACGGGGTCCCGTACTTCGAGAAACCTGTGTGCCAGGGGGAGTGTAGGCAGTCTAGGGGGGTGGGGGTGAGGGCAGCCACTTGATGCCCCCCCTTACTGGATGAGCGCCTAGATGACATCTATTTCGAGCGTCACCTAGAGAAATTGAGCCAAAACTAAGGTCATATTCGTGATCAGGAGCCTCGATAACCCCTATCCACAAGTTTACAGCGAATTTGGTGAGAACACCCTTGGCGCCAATTGGCGCCAAATGGCGCCAATTTGGCGCCAGCGCCAAAAACTAAGGTCATATTCGTGATCAGGAGCCTCGATAACCCCCCTAGCGCAAGTTTCAGCGAAAAAATTTTTTTGATCCATCTCACCCCCTCTGGGGTTGTAATAGCTCAATAGTGCCGTTTTCTACGAACATAGGTTTCCAACGCGCTGTTGATAGGGAGGTGCTTGGAGTATCCTATACACACAAGTTCGAGGGTAATCCGGAGTTGAGCTACTGCTGATCTCGACACGATGGGGCACGCTTTTGCTTCAGATGGTGCGGAAGAGGGATTGATGTACTTCAAGCGTACACAACTTTCTCATATTTTCTAGGTTCCGAAAAGTTCAAATATATTTTGATCGTACGAATTTCCGCGTCTCATCCAGTAAAGGGGGGGCATGTGATGCTACAGCTATATGCATGAATAATCCACTTTTTTTAGGGGAGGGAAGTTCTGGGGAGGGTTGTAAAAGTTTTAAGCGAAATGGTTCGTTTGGATTGGAATTTCTGTAGCCAGCAAGAACTGTCGCACCACATGTCCCCCTTACTGGATGAGACCCGAAATTCCTCTTTCGAAGTCCTAAAAGTCCCTTTACTTCTAGGAAATTACTGTTACAAAGTAAGCGTGAATGAAATTTCGGAGAGAAACCTCAAAAATTCATGGTATCTCCTTCGAATTGCCATAACTTTTTGTATCTATAACCTTGCACTTGCACGAGGATTTAAAATGATTTTAAGGGTTCAAGTATTTTACTTTTAATAGCCGGTAAGCTGTCTTAAAAATTTCGGCTCTTCGAAAATTCATACCGTTGATAAATTTTTCGTGCACATCCTGCTTTTCAACCTTCCAACGATATAACCTTTTTTTTTTAAATGTTTCCGTGTGAAACTAGAGCTGTCACACGGAAGCAATTTCTCATATTTGGGGACCACAAAATTTGAGCTTCCAAATAGTATTGCAAATTTGTTGAAAACTTGTTGGTTAATAAATTTTCATGGTTGTGGGCCTTTTTTCCGCATTTCAAGTAATCGTAGGTTTTTTTAAATTGCTTCCATGCAACAACTTTCACAGGAAACTGTAAGATGCATCTTTCTGCGAAGCGCTAAAACTGGTCTAAAATGTCAAATTTCATAGGCCATCAGAATATCTATTCCTCTTTGCACCGCTTGCGGAACCAGCATTCTGATCGTAGTAGTGTTGTTTTGAATTATGGGCCTATGTATATCTTTATTTAGTTACATTCAAGCGTCGCTCATTCGTCGCGCTTGTCATTTTCTTGTGGCATGCTCAAACATGACGCGCTGATGGGACCCTAAACAAGAGGGCGATTGCCCCTTTGTCACAGAGGACCGTAGGGGTTCTCGAGACGACCACCCACCATCACCACCAAGCCTTAGGGTAGTCCCCCGATACGATCCCCTCCCCGTCCACCCCGTCATATCAGAGCTGCTTCTAGAGCAGTTGATTCTGAGACTAGCCCACTTAGCCCAAAGTTAGCCTACTTTTCCTCCAGTGCGGTCTTCAGCAAGGGGGAGGGAAGGGGGTGAGAGTAAATATGGCTAAAAAACGGCACATAATGCAATTTTGTCTATCGCTTCTTCTTCTTTAATGAAGTTATGAAGTAGTGTTGTAGCGGAACGTGCGAACGTTCGACTGTTTTCTTCGACTAACGAACTAGTCGAAGAAAACAGTCGAACACGACATCCTTTCCCGTCACCAGGGCCCCTTCAACTTTCGAAAATATGACCCTTTCAACTTATTCATCCCCTCAAACCCAAACACGATTCCTCCGTTGAGACCCTGGTGGCGACTATGTGACATTACATTGAAAGTTTAAAGTCAAGGCTTATCCAATAACGCCCACTAATGCAAATCGTCCATCTGAGGTAAGAGCAATGTGTATCCTCACTAACATTCGTGCCCCATTTATTCTGAAAACCTCACTCTCGAGAAAAGCTGAAGAATTTTACCTTCACAGTATGGCCCCCTCTCGAATTACGTCGTCAATATTGCTAGTCGATTAATTTCCTTTTCAGGTTCCACCAGATCCAGAACCAACTGAGATGAAAGCTGAAACATAAGTTTCGAAGGATTTAAACTTGTTTTTTATTCTTATCCTTCAGCTGTATATATCTCAAAAGTATTCAGATGTATAGAAATATGTGGTAGCTT